TAGCACGAATGGTTCCTATGTTCCTTTCTAGTCCTTCCCCACTCCAAAACTTAATGCAGTGAAAAGGGACTAAATTAAATTAAATTAAGTGGTCTCACTTGCAAGTTTAACTTGTTTGCCTCTGAACAGCTGGGATTTTTAAAAATTAATGTTACATTAATGTTATTCCAGGGGATTTGTTAACATTTTCATTAGGGAGGCAACTGGTTTTTACAAGCAGGCAAAACTTTTTGACCTGAACTTTTTCATAAAATGAACTTTCCTCTAGATGGTCAAACCAGGTGAGCAAAATCATCGTCACAACCAGTAAATTTGCCTAGTGCCCAGCCCTCAATAAAACCCTTGTTATGGGTATTCTATTGGCACATTCATTTGAAGTATCCATAATTAGCAAATATATACTAGGAACAGAATGATGCTTTTGAGTTCTTGTTTCTTCTTTTAAGAAATATTAAGAAATATTAAGTCTCCTAGTGACTGTTTTTGCATTAATTTTATCTAAGAAGTGACCGAGCCCTTTGAGTTACAGCAGATTCATACAGTTTTATATAACATGGGTTCTTATTTCTTTATTTCATTTTCAGGCTTTCATTTTAAAGAATATCCTTTTTGTAGAAGAAACACCAGCCCCTGATAACTGGAGACAACTCACAGGTTAGTTTTGTTTGTTGCATGAATTAAATAGCTGGCAAGGTTCTTGTAAAGAAAATGGCAATCATGCTTTTTCCTTCTCAAACACTGTAACTTTTAAGGACCTTTGGATTTTAGAAGTGAAAATATAATGTATATATACTCTTACATCTAGCCTTCTGGAAATTAGATAAATTACATGTAGTTCAAGATGTCACTGACTCTCCAGGATAAAACTACTGCTGCAGTGACATCATTGTTGACAAAATTTTAGGAATTTGTTTTCTTGTTCAAAATAATTGTATACTTAATTTGTAGATGACTACTTTCTTGATTCTTGTTAACTCTCTACTTGATATTTTTATTTGAACTGTGGTGGAGATTGAATATTTTCGGGTGTCATAATCAGGAATCAAATCTTACCTTAAACAGTGCATAGGATTACTGTCACATAGCATAATCTGTCACTTGGTTCTGTTAAATTCAACAGATGAGCAAGCAAGGCAATTACTTGTTTGCTCTCTTTGTGAGATGCTTAACAATGTCAAAACTGAGAAATTTACCCTGGTGTTTCTCAGGGATCACCTGGTGTTCACATCGTGTATGACAGCTGAAAAGACAGACACAGAAAGTGAGGAGCGTGCTTCATCTAACAGTCCGGGTACTAATTGGTTTATAATAAGTCTCTGATGGCTGATTTTTTTCTTCTCTTGTAGGAATTGATAGGGATTATGGAATCATTTGAATGTGTGTCACTAGTCATAGTCTCAGAAATCCTTTCTCTTAATCGTTTTTGACTGTATGCTGTCAAATGCAGTTAAATGTAATTTTATGGAGTTAACAACAAAGAGTATCTATTCAGTGTTCTGTTACTAGTAGTCGATGGTTTTTGCATAAGCACATGCGTGCTTTGAGCATGAATTTTCAGCATTATTTGGAGTGGCGGCACATCGTCCAGGCAGTTTTTCTTACCCCCTTCCCTCCCTCTTTCCACTGTGTATTCAGTGTGATAGGTGCCTGTTTCCTTTTCCAGCATTGGGGGGCTCATGGCTGGGTTGCCAGGATTTGTTAGCCATAGGAGCAGTCTCCATCTAGGGGCTGGCTGTGGAAGCTCTTGGATATCACAGGCACACAAACTCCACTTAGCAATGCTGAATTAAGCACAGATTTTGATTTGCTCATATGACCCATTGGAGGGCAGATGCTCACTTAGATAAGGTCATAATTAGCAAATTTTTGCTCTGCTGTCATATTTAATGTATCATATGTTGCCTTGGATTTGATCACAGAAGGTGTCAAAAATGCAGTAAGAATGTCTGTTACACACTCTGCCTTGCCTTGTTTGCCACTTTTTTGTTCTTAGTACATTCTGAATATTAATTTGGCTGTGGTGCAGATTTAAATTATCCGCAAGAATACTCATCATCTTTTGGGAGGGAAATCCAAGAATAAGCAATGATGTGGAATGACCCACAAATATACAATAGCGGGTGCACTCCACATTATCCTTCGAGAGAAAAGAAGAATATCACTAACACAATCATACATCAAGACCCAACCCCCCCAGGGCTCAACACTAACTTTTCAACTTACTAGCCAAGCGGCTAGTGACATCTTAGATGTTTTTAGATGTTACAACAATTTCATTCTGTTTACTAG